CTCTTGAGGGATGATAGGGGCCTATTGAACGATAGGGGAGGCCTCTTGAACGATGACAGGTGAGTCAGGCTTTTTCTTACGGATTCTTCGCACTATTGGGGTGAACGGAGACGTAATGGCACGTGCACGCCGTCTGATGCGTGAACTCCGTCTTGCAAGAAAAACCCGACGTAGAGCATCCACCTTAGCGGGCCGCTAAAAATAAATTAATACATAAATCAGTAAATAAACAGACATGATATTAAACAGTGAGAACAAAGACAAATATATTTCAAACTTGCACGGTATTCACCCAAGTCATTATTATATCATTGTTCACAAAATGCATCAGATAACATTCCAGAAGTAAGCACATATATAAACATTTAAAAGGACAACATATAGGTTTAGTGCAGGTTCAATGACAACATAAAGAGTAGTAGTTTATTCTTGAAACTTAAATTTTCAACCCTGTGAAGTTAGTATTTGTCTTTTGGTTGAAGTAATGCAATTCATTCAAGTTTCAATTTGCAGAAGAAGAATAGAACCTGAAACTTAAAATCGCAACGCGAAAATGACTATCGTAATGCGAAAATGACTATCGCAATGCAAAAATGACTATCGCAACGAGAGAATCGCAATGCGAAATGAAAATCGCAACGCGATTATAGTTTCGCGTTGCGATTTTAGTTTCGCGTTGCGATTTTCATTTCTCGTTGCGATTCATTTCGCGTTGCGATAGTCATTTTTCACGTTGCAATTTTAAGTTTCGTGTTGGGAAAGTAAACTATTTCTTCTTCTGCAAATTGAAACTTGAATGGATTGCATTACTTCAACCAAAAGACAAAACAAAGACAAATACTAACTTCAGAGTATTAAAGAATACACAGTTTAGCAGAATTGACAGCAACCGAACAAATTTACTTTCAACCAAAAGATAAAACAAAGACAAATACTAACTTCACAGTGTTAAAGAATACACAGTTTAGCAGAATTGACAGCAACCGAACAAATTTACTTTCAACCAAAAGACAAAACAAAGACAAATACTAACTTCACAGTGTTAAAGAATACACAGTTTAGCAGAATTGGCAGCAACCGAATAAATTTACTTCAACCAAAAGACAAAACAAAAGACAAATACTAACTTCACAGTGTTAAAGAATAAACAGTTTAGCAGTATTGGCAGCAACCGAATAAATTTACTAAGCAATCTAAGTGAAATGGTTAATCTAAGTGAAATTACGAGTAAATTTATCATCAAGTTAAATATGGAAAATCTTAAACTTACCTCGTTGCGTAGAGTATGAACCTCATTCTATAACGATACTACCATCTCACGTAGAGCGGCAACCTCACCACGTAAAGTAGACACCTCCACACGCCATGCACCATCGTTATCGCGTAGAGTACCGATCTCCTCACGCAAGGTGGAGAACAGGGAGATAGAAGTCGTGGCATCTTTGCCGGTTGCCTATCATGAGGTAATGGTGGAGAAGAGGCTCGATGATGTGACGGGATAGGTGATGGCTCTCGTTGTAGAGGTGTATAGTCGGGTCGATCAGGTGATGGCTCTGGGTGAGGTGATGGCTCTCGAAGTGGAGGAAGTGGAGGATGCTCATCATTCGTGCCATCAAAAAAATACTGACTAGCTTGCCACCAATCAGTGGCAAGCTCAGCCTCCGTGGGTGTCAGTCTCTGTAATGGAGTGTTGGCCTCCTAAAAATATAAAAACTCAAACAAAGTTAAACGTCTACTATTAATAACTTGTTTATATATGATAGTATTTGTGTTAACTTACATTATTTATTGTCGTATATGGTATTAAGTCTTCCCAATCCAACAGACGTTTCCTCTTCCAGGAAATAGCCCTATGAATATCATTTGAAGTTTTTAATGCATATGTCCGCATGCTGGGGAAAGCCTCGAATATCCAAATCTACAAATAATATAATAACAAACATTAGTAATTGTTAAATAATTAATTATAATTTTGAAAACATTATATAGAAATTTTTACCTTAAAGCCCAAACAAAACCTGACAAAGTGTATTTCGACCCATCGCCACGCAAACTTTTACGGTCATCAAAGGCAGACGACAACTTAGTCCAGGTAGCTTTCCATATATACGAACCCCACGGAAACAGATTCCATGCATTTAGGTCCTCTACCAATAATATTAGCTCCTGAGGAATAGGTTGTCTGGCCTCTCTGCCTAAAAAGCCGGCATACAAAAGTACTAGAAGGCATACTCGGACAACATCGACGTCATTCATCCAAGTAAAACCATCTTTCTTATTAAACAATTTCTTCAGGTCGTCGACGTGTAAGTTCGGCTTCTCTATTGACTCATCAGGAAAAACCCGGAATAACCATGATGGGCGGGTGATATGACGAGTGTACCAGCCTACATCATCGTGTCCGAATCGTAGACCAGTGATTAAGCAGAACTCATTTCGCCCAAAACAAGTATACGCCGGTGGAAAATGAAACCATATCTCTTCCTCACCACGTTGTATACTGTCGGGTAGATCGCTAGTCATGGTCTGAAGCCACAAATGGGTCAAATTAGCATCTCCACCCGGATGATGTACTCTCAGCCATGGCCCGAAGCAGGTTTCCTCAAACAATTTTCTTTGTGCAGGTGAAAGCTTCGAAGCAATTGTAGTGGCTAGGCTAACTTTATTCCTTAATGTCAATGAAGCCGAAAAAAATTCTACAAAAACAATAAACATACCAAGTTAGATATACCAAAAACTACACTGTGAAGATATACCAAAAACAATAAACATAAAGAGTAGTAGTTTATTCTTGAAACTAAAATTTGCAACACTGTTTTGTCTTTTGGTTGAAATGAAAATCGCAACGAGAGAATGACTATCGCAACGCGGAAATGACTATCGCAACGCGAAATGAAAATCGCAACGAGAGAATCGCAACGCGAAATGAAAATCGCAATGCGATTTTGGTTTCGCGTTGCGATTTTCATTTCGCGTTGCGATTCTCTCGTTGCGATTTTCATTTCTCTCGTTGCGATAGTCATTTTCGTGTTGCGATTTTCATTTTCATGTTGCGATTTTAAGTTTAGAAACTATTCTTCTTCTGCAAATTGAAACTTTAATGGATTGCATTACTTCAACCAAAAGACAAAACAAAGACAAATACTAACTTCACATGGTTAAAGACTAAACAGTTTAGCAGTATTGACAGCAATCGAATGAATTTAATAAGAAATCTAAGTGAAATGGTTAATCTATTATTGAAATTACTAGTAAACTTATTATCAATTTCAATATGAAAAACCTAAAATAATGCAAAAATTTAAAAAAAATTAAAAAAAACTAACCCTCAGAGGTTGATTTTCCATTTCTGAATGATTGTGAGGGATTTATGACCGTGAATGGTTGTGAGGGATTTCGCCGGAGATGGGGACGGAAATCTTCGGAGATGGGGACGGATTTCGCCTTAGAGAGTGAGAGATGGAGATGGGACTGAGTTGTGATTTCAGGTTTTAGGTTATGAGTTGCGATTACGGGATATACTGTGGACGGTTCAGTGTTCTGATAATTAATATTCGTGTTTGGAATTTGAAAATAAAATACGCGTAGCGATTCTAATGACGCTTTAAAAATCGCGTTGCGATTTACGGATACGCGTTGCGATTTTACGTATTGTCGTTGTGATTTACGAATACGCATTGCGATTTACGTATTCTCGTTACGATTTACAGATACGCGTTGCGATTTTACGTATTGTCGTTGCGATTTACGGATACGCGTTGCGATTTTACGGATACTCGTTGCGATAGTAAAAATCGCATTGCGATTTATATGTTCGCGTTGCGATTTTCATATTCGCGTTGCGATTTTGGAAAATCGCAATACGAATTTGTACTATTGCATTGCGATTCTGAATATCGCATTGCGATTCTGAAGATCGCGTTGCGATTTTTATTTCGCATTGCAATTTTGTTGGTCATTTTGACAAATCCAAAAAAAATTAATTAAAATCATATATTATAAGACATTTTTAATCACGATTTTCTCTTTAAACTATCACACTATTTTTTTACTGTATTTTAATCGCCTAGTAGCATAACCTCTCAGGGTGCGTTTGGTTCACGGAATGTAAGATTACCAGTGGGAATAAAAGATTACCAGTGGGAATAAAAGATTACCAGGGAATAGGATTACTGAGAATGTTGTATTTTGTGTTTGGTTGGTTTAGCAGGAATGTAAGATTACCGTGTTTGGTCAAAGGAATAAAAGATTATTGGAATGTATATTTGACCAAATTGTTCTTATTATATATTTGTATAATATTACAAATTGTAAAATATTTATATATTTTCTTTAAAAAATTAAATTCATAATATTTATATAATTTTTTTACAAAATTAAAAATATAAAAAATGTTTAATGAAAGGGTAAAAAAAAATTTAACCCCTAAACTTCATATAAAATTTTAATTATAGACTTTTTTTTGTAAATCTAAAATAATTTAAGGATAAATTTGTAATTTAACATTCGTAGAATTTTTATTATTCAATGACAGAAGAATGATATTTTTGAAAAAAAATAAAAATTTAAGGGCATTTTAGTCCAAAACGCCGGTAATGTTATAATACCTAAGGGAAGGGAGGTAATGACATTCCCGGTAATATACCCCAAAAAATCTACTATTGATAATAAAACATTACCGGGAATGAGATTCCAGGCCAACCAAACATGGGAATGTGGGATTCTCATCTCATGGGAATCCCACATTCATTGAACCAAACACTCCCTCAACGATTATTGTTATTTGCCACTTGGCAATGTAAGAGAGGAGAGGGGCAGATAACACTACACATCAGCTTAAAAAAATACACAGAAAGCAAACATCGCAAAATAAATAAGACAGTGAAAAGAAAAAGAAGGCACAGGGAGACGAGAAATCAGTCTCTCTCTCTCTCCATCTATCTATCAATTCAATTTGGGTCTCTCTCTCTCTCTCTCTCCCTCTCTCTCCATCTATCTATCAATTCAATTTGGGTCTCGACTATCTCTCTCCCTCTCAGTTTTTTCATTCTCTTTTCTTTGAACCAGAGCTCTTTATCCCTCCTTCCTCAATATTCAACAAGGTATATATCTCACCTTTGGTAGCTTCAAGTTATGTTATTTGGTCTTTTTATGGCGATTTATCCCTTTTGATCGATTAATTTGGTTCTTGTTTTGGGTCTCTAGTCTGGGTTCTTTAAAGTTTTGGTTTCTAGTCTATTTTGGAGGGCTAAAATCGAATAAAGGTCGTGCCTTTTTTTGTTTTAACTTTTGGTTTGGAATTTTATAAAACCCTAAGCTTGCTCTTGGAATGATCAAATTGGGGTATGAGTAAATGGACCGGGGGGGATGGAAAGTTTGATTAGGGTTGATTTATTGTTTTTGTCGCTGGCATGTAAGCCTAATAATAAAATTTTGGAACTTGCTCTTTGATGGAACAAACTCTGTTATTCAAAGTCTTAGTCACCTTTCTCTTATTGAGATGAATTTGTTTTTGTTGTCATTGGTTCTGAGAATTCAAAACTTTTTAAGAATACATCTATCAATGTTTTGTATCAATGTTCTTTTAGGTTAAAAGTGTGGTTTTAGTTCTTGTAGGTTATAATGTGTTTTGGTTATTCAAGCTGCAGTTTCAATTCATTACGCGAGGTTGTTTGTATAATCTTGTTTGAACATAGTACGTTTTCAGGATGTTTATGCATACTGCTGGATTTGCTTTTAAATTTTTAGGATAGGAAAATTATAGTGGGATGTGAACATGATAGTTATTTCTTTAACAAGACGAGAGTAGTTCTAATCATTCATGGATGTTTTATATAACGAGTTTGAAAGTTTTCTCATGTTTTCATGCAGTTGTTAATTCCAACCGTTTTACTAATATTGAAATGATGTTTAATTCATTTCAAGATATTGAATCTTAAATGCTTGTAAAACAGCGAGATAGATTAGTGTCGGAACAGAACGTAAAGAATATTGCCAAGTGTAATAAATTTGTTTGTTTCTGATTTCAACATTGACGGCAACAGCTTTGAAGTTTCGTGTTTTCCTTCTTATTGGTGACTTGGATTTCAATTTCCTTGCACTGCTTTATTTTTAACATATTTATGGTAGATCGGTATGTCCTATGGAAAGTTTCCGGTCTTACCAATTATGATCGATCCCAGGTGTAGCCATCAGCATGATTAATACTTGGTTCTGGGTCCACTTTAAGTTTTGGCTGAAACTTCAAGGAATTTTGGTTTATGAAAATAGTTTGTATTTGGTGGTTGATCATAATATTTCTTTGTGCTTATTATTTTATTATTTCCTCCCTTTTCGGTTTACCAGAGACAAGGGCTGGCTTCTACTTGTCGTCACATGTGCTTTCAGTTGGAATATTTTATTACTCTTGTTTGTCTCTGTCATAATTGTATTTGATTTATCCCCTCATCATCAAGTTCAGCAGATCTGTAGAGAATACATAAGCTGGCTAATTATAAGAAAAAAGATACTTTATGAGGACACCACCGTGGTGTTTTTTTTCCAGATAAATCAGATTACCATCTTGTGTACTTTAGAATCCCGGAACATTCATACTTTGCACATTGACAAAGCACTTCGGCATGTGTTAGATTATAGGAGATTTGCATTTTAGAATCGTAGAACTCTAAAAATTTCTGTACATTGCCAGTTTCATTTCCGGGTGTCACTCTGCTGGCATGTGGGGGTATTTATATCCTTCAGTTAAAAGTGGTAACCTGTTACGATCAAAATTAATACTGGTTCGATCTGATTAAAACTATCCTTTTGAAACATTTTGCAATTCTCTCACTTGAAATTTCATTTATTCTATATTTAGGTGTTTAGCAGTGTTATTAAGATATTCCCCTATGTGTTGGGTCTTAGCGCAAGAGAACAAAATCATATACTATCATTTTAAGAAAGTCACAAACTCACAATGATCAAGTGCAACCTGATGTGCCTAGATATGCTTTCTTCTTAAGCCGATAGGCGCAAAAAATTCTCTTAACTGAAGTTCTCTTCAATATATATATGTTTCTATATATATACTATTATTGTACCCTTGCTTGTAAGAAGGGGGATAATATACAAGTATTCAACAACAGATATGGGATCTTAAGGAAACCTTGCATGTTGATCAATAAAAGAAATTTTCAATTTTGCTTGTTTGTGGATAAACTGGTTCAATTTTTAGAGTTCATTGTCATAATCATACATCTTAACTTTACTACACATGCACACAAAAGGAAGAGAAAAGATGCACACAAAAACATATACATATGCATATTGCAACTTACTTCACTTAGGTAAGTGTTTTTGTGCTCCTCGCACCTCAAGCAATTTAGAGTTTCAGTGCCTAGATTGTGCCTTACGCCTAAGGCTACTATGGGTTTTAGATATTTTCTCATTTCCAAATTATACAGTATTTATCTCTTTGGTAATGGCTTTCTCTTTATGGTAATGAAATCCAAATGGATTGTAAAATTGATTAGAATGCCTTTTATATCTGCCCGGGGAGATTGTGTTGCGCTTGAGATCGAATTCCATGATAAATAACATCAAATTTTCATAACATTGCGACCCTTTTTTGAAGATTTCATATATGTAAGAGTTATTCTCTAGCCTTGGTCTAGGAAGTATATAAAGGGGAAGGAAAGTGAGCAAAGGAAAAGGAGAAAGAGGGAAAGGAAAGAAAGAATTTGGGATTTACTAACATAGTTTGGCTAATGGCTAATGAGTAGAAAAGAAATGATTTCTTGTTCTTAATAACTTTTATATTAAATGGTTAATTTGTCAGTAAAAAATTTTTGTTGAAGAATCCTTTCCTTTCCATTAAGACGTCTATCAAATGAGCTATAGAAGGTGCTGTTCCCCTATGCTTCTTCCTTTTTCGCAATCCAAACAGACCTTAATGTTTATGTATGTAAGGCTTTTGCTTGTTGGAGGTGATCACTGAGGAGGTGGTGTAGAAGATAATAAAAAAGAGATGGAACTTTTCTTTGATGGCTACCTTCTGTTTTTCTGATTCCTTATCTTAATTATGCTTGTTTTCAATGGAGAAGAGAATTGTAAAGTTTGGTGCTTTAGTTTATTGAAGCAGGATTGACTGTCCTTTAACAATAGAAAGGTTAATTTTGCGCGCTATGAAGTTTTTATCATGTTTTTGTACTACAGGTTTCTGTCTGGTCAGAGGAAAATGGGAAGCACCGGTGCTGATAAAATTCCAGTATATGCTGAAACTGAAGGTTCTGAGACTACAATAGAAATAAAAATAAAAACTTTGGACTCCCAGACTTATACTATGAGAGTGGATAAACAGGTAAATCAATCTCTCTGTTTTACCCCTATTCCAGCTTTGTTTTGACAAATCTTGGACTTCACCCAGAATCTTTATTCGTTTTTTTGAAGTTGAATCGGTAATCTCTGCATGTTCTCTACTTTTTCTAGTAGCCACAACAATCATAATATGATAGCTTCCTACAATTACCTTGCAATCTGATGTTTTATGTGGGTAGTTGAGGTTTTCTAATCTTATAATCTTTTAGTTTCCTTCTGATTGGCTTGCTACATGTACTAGTGAATTGGTTCTTGATTTATCATGAGGAATTGTTTTAGATTTGTGCTTTACTGTTTTATTTCTTATCTCTGAATATCTTACAGATGCCAGTTCCTGCACTAAAAGAACAGATTGCTTCTGTAACGGGTGTGTTATCAGAGCAACAGAGATTAATCTGTCGCGGCAAAGTTCTAAAAGATGACCAACTTCTTTCTGCATACCGTATCCATTTTTCTTAGTATTCATATTTATTTATAAAGTAACTATTTGATTTTATGGGTTTCTTAAGAAATAAGTTGTTCCATTCTATTTATTATCATTTTTTTTGGGTAGCCATGTGTTAATCAATTTTAAGGAAATGACTTTTCTTATTCCCACATTATTGGTTTCTGAATACAAAATTGGATTGCATCATGTATTATTGCTTCTATCATTATCTATTCACATTTAGAATTTGAAGTTCTTAACTGGAGGTAGATGTCGAGGATGGTCACACCTTGCACCTGGTGGTCAGGCAGCCGGTTCCACCATCATCTGATGGCTCACCTCATCTTTCAGGTTTTGTTAAACTTGAGTATCCAGTATCATCCCTTTTCTTTGGGTACAAACATGGCATGAGCATATGCCTTCCACTCGCACTGCTTCCATACTGTGTTTGTAATATATAATATTACACGAGCAGTCCAAGTATTCCCAATCATCATTGAATTCGGATCCAAATTGTATACACAACACAACTTTTTTCAACCAAGAACTTTTTTCTGAAGCAAATTTCCATACTCATTTCCCCATAAGAGCACTGTTTAATAGCAACAAATTCGGAATCCCTAAACCCCCCAACTTCTTTGGCTTACACACCAACTTCCATTTGACCCAATGAATGTTCCTTTTTTCTGTCGAACCCCCCCCCATAGAAAAGCTGCCATGATAGAGTTTAATTTGTTGAACACACTAATAGGGATCCAAAAGATAAAAAGGAAGTAAATGGGAAGTGAGCACAACACTGATTTCACCAAAACTGCCCTTCCAGCCAATGATAGAGACTTAGCCTTCCAACCAGCCAAACTGTTATAGAATTTCTGTACAACCGGCTCCCACAAGGTAAATGAGTTCCTCTTGGCCCCCAACGGTAGACCTAAGTACTCCGATGGAAAGGCTCCCATTGCACAATCAATTTCCTTGGCCCAAGTAGCTAACACTTCCTCCCCACATTAATTCCAAAAATTCTGCTCTTAGTTAGATTCAATTCAGTCCCACCAACAGTTCATAAATTAGTAGCTCCCTTCTAATATTCACCAAATCATGACTAGAAGCCTTACTAAAAATTATTAAATCATCCGCAAATTGCAAATGTGATAACATGAAGGAACGTTCATTAGAACCTAATTCAAAACCCGAAAACAGCCCCTTGGCCACTGCTTTAACCAACAGCAAGTGCAACAACTCACCTCCCAAATTAAACAACATAGGAGATAACGAACAGCCCTGTCTTAATCCTCTAGTAGTGTGAATTCTCTCCGTAGGTGTGCCGTTTACTAAAACCGAAATGGAAGCAGTTGAGACACATTGGTATATAATATATACTTTTTGATAAGGTGTTTTTAATATTAATTTATTGTACATTGCTCATGTTTCTAGAGTGGGAGGAAAAAGCTCCTTTAGATTTAGTTATTAACATTTAGCACTATTATTTGCTGCAGATGATCCTGGATCAGGTACAAGCCGCAGTCATAGTAATCATGTCCCAAATGTTGTAATAGAAACTTTTAATTTGTCTGATCAAGGGGATGGAGTTTCTCCTGAAATTGGTCGGGTAAGCTTTAAACCGAGTGTGAAATGGAGAACATTTCTAGAGTAGGGGAAATATATCTCTTTAGAATATATTTTTAGTTTTAATTGCTTTCTTTCCTCCTAGCGGATTGTCCAAGCCGTTCTCAGCTCTATGGGATTTGCAAATATGGGAATTAGCAACATTGGGGGAGATGTCGGGGTAAGTTTTTAATTTTTCAATTTTTATATGATAGTCATTTAATGGTTGAGATTTTGTTAGTTTAAAGTGTATTCAACTGCATTGGCATGAAATAAATAACTTGAGAAAGTGATCGACTAGAGTAAAATATCCAAAATTCTGGTTTCCAGAGGTTATTTTCAGGAAGAAATCTTGACAATCTGTTAGAAAATGTTTGGCCTTTGCTTTTCTGAATTCTAAATGTTTCTATATGCTTTAGTATCTATGTTCATCTTTATGTGTGCCTAAATTCATATGAACTAAATTCTTTGGACTTTTTGAATACCCAAGGAACTCGGTTCACAACGACATGAAAGAACTTCTGGTAGTGGCATACCAGAACCATCCCAGGGTCAAACTGAACAATCAACCATGAGGAATCAATCTGATAGAGCACATACTGCTTTTGGACTTCCAGCAGCAGTTTCCTTGGGGCCTATGCAACCTCCTGTCGGTTTGGAATTCCTTATTTTTTTTAATAATTTATTTCTCTTTGAATGTGTGAAGTGGATTTTTTGTATGAAAGATATATATTATGGCACACCTATTTGTGGCTCAAGTTATTATACTCTTATTAATTTTTCATTTCTGTAGGTAATTCCTGATTCTTTAGCTACTTTGTCTCAATATCTTAGCCATATAAAGCATGAACTTGATGGCATTGGTTAGTTTTCCTGTCTAAAAAAATGTAATTGTATTATCTGTCATATAAAGCATGAATTTGATGATTTGCAACTCATTTGACTGCCAGTTAGAGCTGGGGGAAATGATCCCCAGACAGCTCCTGTGAGTAGGAGTGGAGATAGAGATTCTATTCCTGCATCAAATTCAGGGACTATAAGGGAAGGTCTTCCAACACCTGCATCTTTGGCCGAAGTGTTACTCTCTACCAGGCAAATGCTCATTGATCAGGCTGGAGAATGTATACAAGTGTGTCCTTAACTACTTTTTCACTCTCTTTCCTGAAGTTTACCCATATGTCTAACAGCTTTCCTTGTCATTGAGGTGTAAATAGTTGGCTCGAAAGGGGAAGAGCGAGGAAGGGGCTGTTATTTGTCCCTGCCTTGTAGATTCCTTTTTTGGAGTTCTTAATTTTTGTTTTCTGATGTCTATTGTCAGCAACTTGCAAGGCAACTGGAGGATCAAGCAAATGTGACTGACACCTCAACACGAACGAACGCACAGTCCAATGCATGGAGAACTGGAATTTTGCTACAAAGCTTAGGCTCACTTTTACTTGAGCTCGGTCGTACAACCATGACACTACGCTTAGGTCAAACACCTGTAAGTTAATTTCGTTCTAAATTCACAGCATTCAACTCCTTTTGATATTATTTGTGCTTGCTGTAACTTATTTCTTTTGCAGTCTGAAGCTGTTGTTAATGCTGGACCTGCAGTTTTCATAACCCCTACTGGTCCAATCCCTCTCATGGTTCAGGCAATGTTTCAACAGCTTATCTGGACCTTCTTATTTGACGTAAATTATTTTTAATTTATGCTGATTTATCAACACTTGTTTAGGCTCTTCCTTTTCAACCGGGAACTAGCTTAAGTACCATCCCCATGGAAACTGCACAGCCTGGTTCTGGTGTGATTAATGGACTTGGGACAGGGTTTCTTCCTAGGCGTATTGATATACAAATACGAAGAGGTATGGCATACCAGTATTTTTCTATTTATGTTTTTTCATATCAACTGTATTTTCTGGCCAGACTGATGGTGTATTTACCACAAGGTTCAACGACCTCCACACCCAATATTGTTCGACAAGATCATGATACCACACAACAATTGGGCCAAAGGAACCCGTCGATGGGTTCCAGCAGTGAGAATCATAGCACTCAAACAACTTCAAGGGTCTCAGATGCTCCATCTTTTGCTGGAGAATCAGGAGTTAGGGTAGTGCCTATTAGGACTATGGTTGCAGCTGTACCTGCTCCTTTGGGTCGTGTACCTTCAGATTCTTCTGGTAGCTCAATGGGATTATACTACCCATTGCTCGGAAGGTTCCAGCATCTCTCTCCTGGACATTTGAGTGGTGAAAGGGGATCTCAAGCATCTGGTGAGCATCTGTCCCCTGGTGCTCAATCCGAGCAGCCTCCTATTCCTGAATCTGCAGTGCAAAATCAAAGTTCACAAGAGTCTGCAAGAGATGGTAATATGTGGATCCCGCCTCTTATGAAAGTTTACGAGGACAAGTTCCTTTCAGGAATTGACTATTTGTTTCTCGTTGTAGGTGAATTACCAAATGCTAATTCAAGACAACAGGAGCGACTGAATACACGCAGTGCCAACAGGAATCAAAACAACCAAGAGGCTGAGGGACAAATTCCTAGTAGCATTCTTCAGTTTCTAAGGGGAGTTTTTCCTGGTAGTGAAATCCAGGTAGAGGAAGCCAGTTTACAAGGAACGGCAACTGATACTGTCATGGAGCAAGCAGGAACATCCAGTGGTAATGCAGCAGCTGAGCAAAATGGTACTGATGAAGGGGTGTTTTTATCTAATCTGCTTCATCAGATCATGCCATACATATCTCAGCATGCGGGATCGCAACAAAGTGCTGTGTCTACAGAAGAAGCAAATACATCCACCCAGGTAAACAAAGTGCTGTGGCTTTACATGCATCGTGTCTGAACCATAATTGTTTGTTTGCTAAACACTGCTTAATTTGCAGGCTGAGAGCTCTAGGACCGGGAATTCACATAGACCTAGCGACTCTGAACCAAACGCACCAAACTCAAAACGTCAGAAGGTACTAATTCCAAATACTTTCCTATTATCTCATCTATCATCATCTTTTGCCTCTAATCATATTCCCATGAGCTTTCTCCTATGTATCACTTAGAAATTATGTATAAACCTTGTAGATCAGTCCATGTAGTAATTCAATCAACAATGTTCTCTTGATTGTTTATAGTTTATAGCTTCAACATGATCTCTGTCCACTTTTTGATTATATGGATATTTTCAGCCATGAATTTATGTATGTAGTTGCATATTAGTGCATAAGAAGCTTTGTTAACTTGAGCTTTTAGCCTAAATTCATGGTATTAAGCAATTACGGTGTAAAATTCTGTCAAATCCAGAAAGTGAGTTGAACTGCATGTTCTAGGAGTCTCGAAACACATTTTGGTGCAATACCAGAAGTTTAGTATTTTGTTGATCGAGTACCAATTAAACGGCTTGTTGTTGCAGACGGAGTAACGAATGGAGAGATGGTGGATTTAAGGAATCCTCCGGTAGTTATGAAATTGGTGACTACCGATTTGATGAGCTCTCATGAACAGCGGCAGGACTTTTATGCTAAATGTGAGACTTTCATAATTGATATAGGGAAATTTGAACTGTGGACGTTACCTTCGCTATTCCAAAATTGCAGCTCATCTCCAAGTTTGAATGTTCAACTTTTGTTATTTAATAATTTTATTATCATTTGATATTTAATAATATTTATTTTGTCAAATTTTGAATATTTTTTTAATGTGATTTCTAAATAAAGTACAAATATTGAAAAACTTAGATCCACCGGAGTTGATGAATTTGACTTGTAATACAAAAACTACGAAAGCGAAACTTATTTTCTACATATTTTATGTTCAAATTGATTTTTTATAAATGTATAGTTGTTTTTTATTTTTATAAAATCTTTTTTTAATTTTTATAATTGGAAGAGGGTCATGATAGGGGTGTTCATTGATCATTATAACAGCTAATAAATTTTATTAATCGTAATCTAATAGTTGAAAATTGGTTAATCATTAATGAGTAATTGTTATCAATAATAAATTAACCTGTAATTTATTATAATTGTTTTTTCAGAAACAATATGACAAAAAAGTTTCAAAGTGGATCTTGAGGGAAACAAAAGATATGTTTTGTAGTTGTCAATTTTATAAAGAAGCGTGGAGGGTGATTTGCCATTCGTCGAGGCCTGTAGGGACTTGGGGCCAATAGGTGTTATGGGCAGTGACAAAGCTTATGTCTCTTCTTTTTACGTTATTTAGGCTCGCTTGGAATGCTTATATCTATAGGGTGTGGGTGTGGAGTGAACGGAATCGTAGGGTGTTCGGTGGGGCTGAGAGTAATGTGGAGGAGGAGGTTTGCAAGATAATGGAGGATGTTGGGTTTCGACCTATGGGAACGTCATTTAGGAGAATAGTTATTAATACTAAGAATTGTGCAGACTGGAGGATTGATTCATAAATCTCTTTATTGGTGTTGTAAATATTTGTTTGGGAGGATTGTTTGTAGCATTTAGCTGTTGTTGAGTTCATCGTAGTAGACTACTGCTTTCTACGGGTTAATGAAGTTTTTATCATTCATCTGAAAAAAATGTTTCAAAATTTCATACTACAAAGTTATATCCAGGTTTTTGAAAATATTTTTTAATAAATATTAATTCTTTAATGATAAATACTTTTTAATAAATATTAGGTCTTTAATGATAAATACTTGATTAGCAACTTTTCAAAAATAATGGTAAAAATATCTTCTCCAGCCAATTTAAGACTCATAATGTAATATTAGCAACTCAAAGATAAAAAAGAATAATAAATAAAATCCATAATTGTAACAGTTAATCAATTTATTTTTAATATTAATTTTCATATATAAAACAGTTAATCGATAGTTAATAATTTGTCAAAGTTCGTAATTATAACTATTAACAGTCACTTATAACAATTCATCTAACTGAAATAAGTTAATCTTTACAATCTGAATGACCTATAAAACGTAACCACTACACCTAATTATTAGTTACAGGTTAATCTGCACATCACTAGTAATGTATTTTCACCTGAACAAGGGTTATTTTTAAATTTTAAATAGTAAAAAACATATATAAATTTATATTAGTATAGAATTACATTTTATATAAACGTAAATTATTATTTCAATATTATATTAAAATTAAATAAAAATACGTGTATAATTTTAACAATGATTCAATTTCACTTCAGGAAGAAAAAAAACATTTAAACTACTCGGCAAGAAAAATTTTGCTACCACATTAAAGTGAAAAATTTAAGCCCAAAAATATTAAATTGCATTTTAAAATCATCTTAAATCACACATTCATTTTCTTCGAAAAGAATAAATAACATTCATTGTATTTAAATTTATAGATAAAAGTTTCTTATTGTTTTAAATTATTTATTCATTAATCATAAAAATATTTTCACTGCAACACTAATAGTGCAAATATAGAATCATACTAACAGTTTGTATCTACTTTTGTTGGTGCTCTCATTAGGATACAGCATAATCCAAATGTCGATCTAGTAGCCATTGCAGTTTCCAAACAAGATAACAAGCATTAATTGGCTTAAGAAAACCAGAAATTTCAACCATAATAAGTGACAGATTCATTGTTTGAAAACAGGATCGTACTGGGAAACCAAAAATTCAAGCCTATTCAACAACCATGCATTAAAATGAATCTAACGGTTCAAGAACTTGTTAATGTCTTCTACTCCATAACCACCTTACATTCCGGTGAAGGCTTTCTTCCCACCGCCGGATGATCCGGCGGGGATCACTTTCAAAACATTGAACCTCACGGTCTTAGACAACGGCTGAAATCAGATAACAATAAACACAAGTTACAAACGACCGAAATTGCCTCCGCCGAACAGAATAAGATTAGATTCAAAGAGAAAAATTATTCTGTCTATGTTTTACCTGCATTGCCCGATAATGACGTGATCCCCTTCTTTCACACGGAAGCATGGAGAAATGTGTGCCGGGATGTTAGAGTGGCGCTTCTCATACCTAGCAAAAAGGAAATTCTTATTAAAAATAGATTTTAAAAAACTACAATTCCATTGTGAAAGTAGGGCAAAAAGAATCTGGATCATGCCTTTGGTATTTCTTGATGAAATGAAGGTAATTCCTTCGAACAATGATTGTCCTGATCATCTTGGCACTATGGCAGGTACCGGCTAAGATTCGACCCCTGATGGAAACTGTGCCTGTGAATGGGCATTTCTTGTCGATGTAGGTTCCTATATGAAACAAATATGCAAAATGTCAACAAGTAATTAACCAACAATCATAATCTCAATATCAACTGAATTCTAAGAGCATATAACGGATCATATAAGTGCATTCGCTACCAACGTCAGATTCTTGGTGTCAATCAAGTAAAGAACAAACCTTCAATAGCTTCACGAGGAGTCTTGAAGCCCAAACCGATACTCTTCCAAAATCTGTTTCCTCCCTTTCCAGGCCTTTTTCCTTTCCCAGATTTCTTCGAACTGAAACGATGAGTTAAATCATTAAAGTCATCCAAAACCCAAATAGGTAAAAGTAAAAGTACATGGAAGTCTTTCAAGGTTTTCAGATTGAAGATTACCTCAAAAAAACTTTTGGTTGCTTCAAAAATGCTTTCTCGGTCTGCAAACAAAGAAAAAAATAGAGAATGAGAAGCGAAGAAAAAAGAGGGAGAGAGGGAGATACAATGGATCTGATTTGAACCTGTTCGGCCATGGTTGACGAGCTCTCTCTCTATTATGGCGCGGCTGCAGGCAAGCACAGTGAAAATGAGAGCTTGTACGAGAAACCCTAACTAAAATCTAACAGCTTGGGTGTCATGCGAGATCAGCTTTTAAAGTTATAAAGTTGGGCCTTCAACATTATTTTAGTCCAAAACTAAACCCACGGAAAGAAACAATTAAGAAATTATTGTAGCCCAGTCCTGAATTAAGTATTGAAATCGAAATATGGATCAGCATCCATTTTTTACGACGTTTTATGTAATTTACCACCCCCCCCCCCAAACACATATTTTTATTATTATCTTAATATATTTTCTTTTATTCACAATATTAAGATTTGAATCATAGATATTATATAATAGATGTAAGGTGGTCTCATTTTACTATATTAATTAATAGTTGGTTACATCACATAATTTAAATATACATATATTAGCAAAATGTAAATGCTAAAACTATATATTATATAGTAACTAGTCTAACAAGACGAGGTCTTAAATCTTTTAAAGAATGTTAAAAGTATGGATTTTAATATTATAAATGAAAAAAATATTAAGAGATTTACCTTTTATAACATATTTATATGGTATTTGATTTAGATTAATTTGTCAATTTATATTTATTCTTATATATATATATATTTAAATTCTGAGAGATAAATTGTACAAAAGACCTTTTGAATTCAATTTAATAAATTAATTTGACTATAATTAAAGACAAATTTATCACCAACTATTATTTACTCCGGTAGAATGATATTATATCTTTAAACTGAATTTATGATTTGATTATTAATATTATAAATTGAATAAACTAAACTAAAACATCATTTTCATAATGAAAAATCACAATAAAAATTTTAAGTTATATTATTAACCCAATAAATTGAATAGCTTTAAATAATATCCATAATAACAATGGATCATCATATAGAAAGGTATTTTTAAGTTGTAACACAAAAGAGATGAGTTAATCAAATCTCTACATTTTCCACATATAAAACACATCACTATATAATTAATCATTAGAAACATGAGAAAAATCACTTTGTAAATTGAATCTTAGTTCAGATAAAAGCATTACTGTTATAACAATCCAAAAGCAATGAGTTGGAACATAAAAAGACCAATAATTTGTTGTATGATAAAATTCCCAAACTACGACAAGGGCAGTTGTTCTGCAGCTATTGGACCAACCACCTGGAATGAAACCGATGGTCACATGGGGGGACGAACCAGGGTCTCACCGCACACACATCTTGGTCCAATGCCTTGCGGCTCAACTTGGACTCTTCTTTGATCCAAACGTTTCTCTATGCAACTCCGAATCAAACATTTTCCATCCAAAAACTTCAAATTCTCTTTGCTATTATGCCTGATTTTTCAATCCCCAAAATAAAGAAAACTAATTGAACAGTGGTTCTAACAAGCACCTTGTGGTGTAAATATTCTTCCATTTCGTACCTTTTGGGTTCTGATTTTCTTTGAGATCTCAGCCGTTCGTCTAATCTTTCCTTGGCCACTCTCGCTACCTCTCCAAGCTTATGATCTTCATAGGCTTTAATTAATATCCTCTTTTGCTTTAATTTTTTTTCCGAAATAAAACCCAAGTTAGTCCTTTAATCTCATCCGTCAAATCTAAAGAGAGAAAGAATACGAATTACCTGAGAAAAGACTTGAGTTTCATGGTTGGTTGTGTACAAACAGAAAAAGGGTTTCCTTGTGAAGGCGGGAGCTGAATCCGATGAGCCTCCGCTTTGATGGAATCGTCTTCTTCGAGCACATTCAACACCAGCAAGCATACCCGCCATTGAAATCGAATTCTATCAAAACAAAGAGAAATAAGAGTAGGTAGCTAATAGAGTATAGAGGAAGGCAAAAGCTGGTCAAGAATCAAACATTGAAGACGGAACAGGAAAACAGAAGAATTTGTGAGTTATTAGAAATAATAAATAAGCAAAAGTTGAATAAGAAAACGTCGAAAGACGGGCAAAACGTAAATTACGAAGGAACTAGGAAGCTTCATTGCAACTTCTCAATCAAACCCGCCGCTAGAACTGTTGATGACTCATGCTTGTCTTTTTGCTTGGCTTAATACCACTTTTAACCCTTTACTCAAATCTGTAGTTTTGCTCTCTACTGATTTTTCTAGATTTAACTATTGTATTATTATTTTATCTATTATTATTATTATTATTGTCAAAATTAAGTTGAAATCACCGATAATCAGTTGATTTAATGAGATAAGACATTAAATTATTTAAATAAAATTAGGAGTGTTTTCGTAATTGTCATTCGGGTGAGCCCGAAATTAGGCTTCTACTTAAAATAAACATGCTATATCCCCACCAATCATTCATTTTTTTAAATTAGGTTGACCAAACACATCAGTTTATCACCTTACATGATCTGCATTTTATTATAAATATATTGGGTTTGGGAGTCGGTTACAATCAAGAAATGATTAGCACCATTGTACTACGCTTTCGGTACCAATTTAATTTCAGTTGTTTTAATTACGAAAATTAAAAGTTACATTAAAATTTAAAACTCGATCCAAATTACTTACATTTGACGACCATTTGTGTGATTTAATTAAAGTCCTACAAAATATTAAAATAATAATAATAAATAATTAAAAAAATATAAAATACTGCAAAAAAAAAAGTAGGGCACCAAAGTAAATGGAGGTAAAATTACAAACGGTAACCGAATTGAACTACGCTTTAAAACTGAAAGGACTGCGGAAATGATTTAATAAACTTATAATTGCATATAAGTCCCCCATATATAAATGCTTCCTCCCCTAATTCTCATCTCATTTTTACTTACCCAAAAAAACCCAAACCCATGCTCTCTAAACTCTCTCTCGTTCTCTTCAACCGGCCTCGATGGTAGGCCACTGTCCGGTGGCCATCCGTCGTTACATCCGATGGACATAATTTTTTTAATGCATTATACTTGTAAAAAATAAATTTATATTAGTAATTGGGGGCATACTTTTAAAATTCAATTTACTTTCCTAATATTTTCTTTAAAATTTTTATTAGGGACCCATTTTTTAATACTTGCTATTATGAAGTTACCCTTAAAGTTTATTTTTTCAACATTTATTATTATAAATAATTACTTAAATAACGGTATGTAACCAAAACAACAATTGTTATGTAGTGGTAACGACATCGTCCAAAATCGCGATATCCAAAACCTTTATGTCCACAATAGTATATGCTATTAAAATTTCACAATACTTGTAGTGACCAAAATATCATTAGTTATGTCTGTAATAACGATAAACACAATGCGGCCAAAGACACAAATACAAACTATAATTTAAATCTCTGATTAAGGGTTAATTTTTTTATTCGCTCGAGCGCCACCAAAATCTCAGAAACATACTTATTAATAATTATAATAAATTGTTTTTATTGTGGATTTAGTTTATGATTTTAGTTGTAAATTTTATTATAATTCAAATAATTTTTATTTTAAATAAAATTAACTACTTTTATAGAATAATTTAAAATAAATATATTCATATACATCGAGCAATTATATTCTACATTCAATCGAATTTATGTTTAATTTAAATAAATTGTAATATGAAAATATTTGATATAATACTTAAAAGAATAAAAACCTACACTCGTACTCGTTCGAATTTACGTAACCATATTCACTTCCTCACTTTATCAGTACCCCGCGGATCATATTCTTTACACGGTCCCAACTGGCGCTTTCCACCCCATGCCGGCGACAAAGACGGTGACAAATGGCAAGAAGGCGCCGCCATTGCTAAGCATCCTTCACTCCAAGTTCTCCTTATAGGGTACGACACGCTCTTGCTTTTAGGAAATGCATGGGGACAATTCCGTTGCGACTTGTCGTGGAGTGCACAGCGACAGTTCCGGTGGTACGGTCGGTGCTCGATGCCCGATGTTGCTGCCTGATATGCACCCTTCGTAGAGGGACCGGAATAGTCCATCAGCAGCTCCGGCGGCCATGCTTTCCTTAATTTAAGCAACCTCAAATAAACGTGCGCCGTGCCTAATATTTCAGAAGGAATGGAACAATGGTAGCATTTATAGAAAGAGGAAATGGCGTGAAGCATCAGCGTTGTGGGAACCGTGTCCGATAGGATTGAATCGGTTGAACCGAAAAATAATATATTTCCAGTTTATCGTTTCATATATGTTATATTAAATTGGTTAAAGATGAATAAAAATAGAAAAAAAATATGCTAAACCATTTTTAACCTTTTGAATACTTTAAAATCAATTCAGTTAATAATTAAAATTTCCATCCGTTTGATTTGATCTTTAATTTGTTTTCTTAACTAATCATTTAAAAATGTATGAATTGGGTAGGCCAATGATAGAAAATGAACTAAATTTGATTTAATTATTTTTAGTTTTACCTTTTTATTAATAAATTAAAAATCATAATTATTTGAACCAGGTTAAAATTAATTTTTTAAATTAAAAAAAATGAAAACGGTATGTGCATTTTGTTTTTGAATAAAAAAGAAACGTGTTTGGTAATGAAAGTAGTGCTATTGGGTTAGTTCATCATCCCCTTGAATTTGACAATAGTCTTTACTTTTGACGGTAAACCAAGAAACCTATATATTTTTTTTTGTATTCTTCTCTCATTAAAAAAATACGGATTAATAATCGTTATTTCACCAATCACGAATTTCTATTTGAATAAAAAATGATTTATCAAACTGATAAAATAAATTTACTCTCATCCATCGTCTTCTAATAAATTTACATGAATTCAAATAACATGAAAAGTATGTAGATTGCAATCTAACATAATCATTACATAACAGCTTCATTTATCCAACCATAATTGATTCAATATGGATATAACATTACACATTAAATTCATAATTTTGAAAGTAAATCAATTCAATTGGTCAATGTTTACGTAGGAATTAAATTAATTAATTAAAATATTTAAATTTAAATATTATGATATATTTAAAAAAAAAGATATATTACAAAACAATATGGTGTGACTGTGGATGAGTTGAGTTGTCTAGCATAAACGCTCAATGGCAGTAATATAAGGCGCGTTATCATATTTTTCTTTGCAGCTTCGTTCTCTCGAAATTTCCGTTTCGTTTGAACTAGATAAGAAACACATTTTGAAGATCTCTATGCGTGGACTTGGAAATTCTTCTTAGAGAACTTTCTCTCCGCCAATTCTCATTCTCTTCTTCCAAAGGTTAGTCAGATCCATTCTTCCTCCACATAGTTTCTTCAATATTTACATTCACTGCTACACTTTGTTTCTTCAAAACCCACATCGAAATCCTCCGTTTTTTTTGGCTTAAAAACTCATTTCTCGATCTGGGTTTGCCCAGATCTGGCAAAATTTGAACTCAATGGGTAGTTTTGGGATCTGGGTATTGACGATTTTCTTGATAGTTCAATCTGGGTATGGGTTTTATTTGCCTGGTAGTTACCCTCACAAATATGTCGTTGGGGATCCTTTATCCGTCAAAGTGAATTCCCTAACTTCCATCGAAACTGAAATGCCCTTTAGCTATTACAGCTTACCCTTTTGTAAGCCTGCAGAGGGTGTTAAGGATAGTGCCGAGAATCTCGGTGAGCTTCTCATGGGAGATCGAATTGAGAACTCGCCTTATCGGTTTAAGATGTACACTAATGACTCGGAGATCTTCTTGTGTCAATCTGGTAAGTTATCGGCTGATGATTTTATGTTGTTGAAGAAGAGGATTGATGAGATGTATCAAGTTAACTTGATTCTCGATAATTTGCCTGCGATAAGGTATACTATGAAAGAGGGTTTCATGTTGAGGTGGACCGGGTACCCTGTTGGGGTTAAGGTTGAAGATGTTTATTATGTGTTTAATCATTTGAAATTTAAGGTGCTTGTTCATAAGTATGAGGAAACAAATATGGCAAATGTGATGGGGACTAGGGATACCGCTGATGTTATCCCTGGTGGTGGCACAGGAAGATCTGATGTGCCTGGTTATATGGTTGTTGGATTCGAGGTGGTTCCTTGCAGCGTCATGCGTGAAGGTAATCTGGTTAAGAACTTGAAAATGTATGACAGATACCCGTCTCCGATTAAATGTGAGACGACTACTGTCTCAATGCCGATCAAGGAAGGTGAGCCGATTGCCTTCACATATGAGGTTGCCTTTGAGGAGAGTGATATCAAGTGGCCATCTCGTTGGGATGCATACTTGAAGATGGAGGGATCCAAGGTCCATTGGTTCTCAATCTTGAATTCTCTTATGGTAATCACTTTCCTTGCTGGTATAGTCCTTGTGATCTTCTTAAGGACTGTCAGGCGGGATCTGACCCGGTATGACGAACTTGACAAGGAGGCCCAAACGCAGATGAATGAGGAGTTGTCTGGCTGGAAGTTAGTTGTTGGGGATGTTTTCCGTGTCCCATCCCATCCTGCTCTTTTATGTATTATGGTTGGTGATGGGGTTCAGATCCTTGGGATGGGAATTGTGACCATATTGTTTGCTGCTCTTGGATTTATGTCACCAGCATCCCGAGGAACCCTCATTACAGGAATGCTATTCTTCTACATGATTCTGGGAATTGCAGCTGGCTATGTTGCGGTTCGCCTTTTGAGAACTATCAGCTTTGGTGATCACAAGGGATGGGCTTCAGTTGCATGGAAGGCTGCTTGTTTTTTCCCCGGTATCGCCTTTTTAATTCTCACCACATTGAATTTCCTGTTGTGGGGAAGCCATAGCACAGGAGCCATCCCGTTTTCGCTTTTTGTTATCCTACTACTACTCTGGTTCTGCATCTCTGTTCCACTCACCCTAGTCGGTGGATACTTTGGGGCTAAGACACCTCATATCGAATACCCTGTTCGGACCAACCAGATCCCTAGGGAAATTCCAGCTCAGAAATACCCATCCTGGCTGTTGGTTCTTGGTGCTGGAACTCTACCTTTCGGTACCCTTTTCATCGAGCTTTTCTTCATCATGTCTAGCATCTGGATGGGGCACGTATACTATGTCTTCGGCTTTCTGCTCATTGTTATGATCCTCCTTGTCGTGGTTTGCGCTGAAGTATCGTTGGTGTTAACATATATGCATCTCTGTGTGGAGGATTGGAAATGGTGGTGGAAATCCTTCTTTGCTTCAGGTTCAGTGGCCATCTACATCTTCTTGTACTCCATAAACTATCTCATATTCGATCTGAAGAGTTTGAGTGGACCAGTCTCTGCAACTCTCTACTTGGGGTACTCTCTCTTCATGGTTCTTGCAATCATGTTGGCAACCGGCACGATCGGATTCCTTTCTTCATTCTGGTTCGTGCATTATTTATTCTCGTCCGTAAAGCTGGATTGAAGAAGCTCGCTAGAAAACCGTCACATTAGTCCACCACTTGCATTACTTGTTATGCTGAGTTTTACTAAAACGCGCGCTGTTTCACTTGAATTCTTTATTAGTTTGCATTTGCATTCTGATGTATTTGGGATCACTTAGGTTGCTTTTGTAACTTCCCATGCTATTTACTTTGGAGCGCTGAGGAAAAGTTACTTTCCTTTCCCTGATTTTTTTTCTTTTAGATAACATTTATACTATTTACAATCTTTTAAACTAGTAGATTAGATTAGATATATCTATGCTCCAAACATTTCAATCAGGAAAGGTGCGGTGTTGATTCCGAGGTGCTGTATTTCTATTTGGGCCACCCGCTTTAGTGATATGTAAGAGGAAAGGGGGGGGGGGTTTCAAAAATCTATACAAAGATTGGCTCTACCAAAGTTCCATACACCCCTTAACGTCAGGGCGGACCAACGGTACTTCAACCAAGTGAAACGGCTGCAGTGATTAAAAAGAAACTTACTGGGCGAAAGGGCTGTGAAGTGAAGTTTGCACAAGGAAAACTGCTACAATATGTAGCAGAAGCAAAAGAAAAAAGAAAAGAAAAACTAGTCTGACTGGCTCACAAGCTCTCCTGTTAGAACTTTTACACTTGCCTCAGTCAATGACAACTCCAGGCCAACATCACTGGGATAGGAAAACCCTCGATTCATTCCAGGGGAAAAAAAATTGTCAGTTTTGGTACTCCTAAAAATTCCAGAACTGCATGGTGCTGGTCAGACCATTCTACTGTCACCATCTAAGTTGTCGGAAGATTCTTTGATTGCCTGTACAGTCATGAGAGCAATCGCAGCCCTCTGAATTGCTAGATCTGCTCTGAAAAGCAATCTCTGAGCTCTTTCTCTCTTGAACTTGGCCACCTTAAGTGCACGCCAGGCTGCACTGGCTGCATCCAGCAATCTGAACTCATCAATATCAGAATTATCCAACTGTTCAGGACCATGCCTTTGTAAGCCATCTGAGAGGTAATTCTGCAGGCTAGGACACTCTGAAATGGCCATGTTCTGCCGACGAATTCTATTTCTCTTGCCAATTAGCCTCTGACCATATGAAGGCATCGTTAACCAATCGTTTGATGATGGGAAAATGCAAATTTTCTTTGGCCTGCTTCTTCGTAGTTTCTGGTGGTAACTCTTACTAAACCCATCACAGCCCGTGGGAAAATACCCCCTGATAACTCTATCTAGTTGTGAAAATACCCTTGGTGATGCCTGAGACAGTGGGGAATCTTCTACAGATTCATAGTTATGTACAGGATATAGAAACTTTTCATCCCCATACAGGAACCCATTTGATCTTCGCCCTGAAATGACCACAAATTAAGTCAGATTCTTAAGAGATAAACATGATTTTTTTAAGAAAATGTCAGATAGAAGTGAAACCGATAAAGAACATTACCAAAGGAATGACAACCCTCATGATCTCCCAATGCAGGGTTGATTTGACCAGAAACTGGAATTTTCCTCTGGGATCTTTGTTTTGACCCTTTATTTGGAACTTCCAAGCCCCGGGGTTTCAAACAGAAAGCAAACATCGGTGGCTTCTCCATGGGTGAAACCTTATCTGAGCATCCAATGGACGGAATACGATTCACTTTCGACATAGTTAGCTCCCACTCTCTAATTTGTTGCTGGTACCTTTCCCGCAGTGGTGGCTGAATGACAACCAAACATTTTACCATAAAATGTTAGAGCATCAAATGTTATTGGTTTCTACTACATATCCAAACACAACTACTTGGAACAACTGGTTAATTCAGCTTATCAGGTTTTGTGAGAAGAGTTCTTTCTTTCCCTTCAATATCACTCATTTATCCCCTTGAAGGAATGTGGCAAGTGCACATTTTTGTGAAGAAACTACAGGTTAATAAGCACTAATAAACAGTATTAAGACTATTGAATACATCTGCAGAACCAGGCACCCTTCCACCAAGATGTTGACACTTTCAACCAGCTTGTAAATTAATAGGTACTGATATTTTAACCATAAGCCTAAATGCTGCAAATCCAAGAAAAACATACCTTGAGATGCCGAATTAAAGGCATTCCAACTCTCTTCCGCTTTTCCTGCCAGTGCTCATAGATTGCCCTGATTACTTCCATGGACCCAACTCCAGCCATGAGCTGCTGTATTTCATCAGAATTAAATTGATCACACTGTTGAGTATAAGCAGCCTTCTCAAACATGTCCATAATCTTCTCAAAAGTTGCATCCGAAAATTCCAACGAGGTGCTGCTACCATCACTCTCTGAAGATATATGAATTCTTGAAATCCACTGTTCATCATCAGTATCCATGTCATAGAAAACACGGGATGGATCCAAAGCCATCTCAACATCAGTTTCAACCTGCCGCAAGTACCGGAAAGGACTGCGAAGAAATACCACTTCTGTATTATCATCATATTCCTCTACCATGCGAACTCCAGGAATAGGAATATTCTTAACTGAAGCCGAACGAACATTTCGGTTGTAGCACTCTTCATGCATATCCTTGAAAAGGGCCCACTGGCTCCTGTCAGTGAACTCTAAGATCCAATCCTTTCCTCCTTTCCACATCATAGCATGCGTGTAACGATTGGTAGATCCAGGCTGCAGGAACTGATGTGCCTTGTAAGAGCACCTAATTGATCCTGACATTTTCACAGCCAATTTCCATTCATTATGATCAAAAAGTTCAAGAGCAACCTGTGCTCCACATTCACGCCATCCTCTGTCCCCAAGGGTAAGTAGCAAATTTGCATGACATGATACTAACTCCATATTTCTTTGAGAACCACTAGAAACATCAGATGATATCTTCTCACTAGCCCTCCTAATTCGCTTGTGGGAAGACCCCTCTGGTAATGGCCTTTATTCTTTAAGCTGTAATCTGAACCTCCAAAGGGCATTGAATATGATACATGAGTTTGTGGTTTCCTAGGTCCAGTTTCAAAATTATTGTGGAAAAAATCAACCCTTCCATCTGACCATCTACGAGCATGACAACCAAACGATGAAGAACTTCTATTTCGATGCCAAGAACTTCTAGGAGCAGTAGGATTAGGACTCGGGATAACACTGCCATTCATATTCCAAGTCAGATCTGTAGACTGTTGAGTGCTAGGTAATATGCTGTCAACGTTATTCTCATATTGATCAAAGGGTGGGAATCTCAACCCTCATACCATTCAAATGGAAGTAGACCCTGTATTATTATCGACATCAATTGGAGCATTTGATGACAAAAAGGTTGCAGAGATTTTGAACGGTCACAATTTTGATCACCAACTTTTTGATCACCATTTTCATATTTCTGCAAGGATTTTTTCCAACATCTATCACTAGAAACAGAGAGATCAAGAGTCGTTAACTCAGTGACAGAAGAACCATCATTTGATGAAGCTTCCAGATTTTTTTCTAAACTACTTTCAGAACTTTTGTTCACGCAGTCCTCTCTATTAGAACTTTCATCTACGGACAAATTGCCAGAGCTTTCTAGATTCTCAATGGAGTCGTGATCCTGAAAGCTAATACGTGCAACACTACAATCCATAAGTACCTTAAGATACAAACTAAAAAATAAAGTAGGTGCAGCACCAAAAGGAAGGGCAAATAGAGGAAGATTTTTTGGCTGTTTCTCAGAATTGGAAGAAAACCTGCCAACTTTCAGAAAACTAGATTCTCTGGAGACACCCATGTGGCTAAGACTCTGCCTATACCTTCTCCTTAAACCCTGGTCAATGCAAGCAAATTTCAATTTCAAAACATTTAATAGCAGCCACCAAACAGATTATAGACGACAGAAATCTGACCGTACAGCAAATCCAAAAAAGCTTGCCAGAACCCATTGCTGATAGCTAAATAACCACAAAGAACTAAACACAGCATAGTAAAACTAAAACTAGGTCGGGACCTTAGGGTCTTTTTACCCCATGGGTTTCTTCCCCCCCCCCTTTTTTTGCATGGACAAAAATGTGGGTTTTAGGGGAAAATAACAAAATAAAATATTCCTCCCGTCAGAAGACTATAATCACAAGACAGACAGACACTTGTGCGCCAAAATATAAAACTGGCATTGAGATTTCAATAGAAAAACAAGAAGAGAAGATCATACCACAAATGACAAGGAACCTTTGCAAGCGGGAGAACTGAACAGCTCGATATTTCCATTCTGAAGCGCCTTAATGTTATCATAAGTGCACTCAGACAAAGGTAATTGCCTATTGAGCACACAATATCTTTTCAACTTAGAATCCAAAAACATCCATTTTGAATGCTTCACTTCATGGAAGTTGCAACAGGCAAAGACAATCAACTTCCTAAAGTCTTGAGTCAAAGAAAATCTGAACCCGATAGAAGTTACAGGCAACTGCACATCAGAGAACTCCTGCTGTTCAGCAGGTTGATAAACACCGCCAGGACCTTGAAAATAAAGCTACAGCCTCCTTCAGCGATCCTTCAAAACAAGAAACCTTAGACCAACTTCATCATCAACAAAAAGGATCTCTAGATGAACCATTGGCCAGACAGTCATCACCATACCACACTGAAGCAGCAACAACGAACAAACCAGCCAAAAGCTCTTTGCTCCAAATAAGTTATTTGGGACATTTAGCAAAGGAAAGTTCAATCCAAACCTGCATTGTTTTGAATGTAACAATGGCATATTTAATCGCAACAGCCCTGCATTATCAGTAAACAATAAATCTCCTTCAGGATCCCACCTTCCTGGACAAACATCAAGTTCCCCCAAATCCTGAAAGTCATCAACAGAGCCAAGGAAAGTGATAGGCTCAGTCGCCCTACCGTCACCATAACTGCTTTCAGAAGCCTGACACATTAGTTTTTCTGTCCTACGAAATCGCCTTCGGAAATAGAAAATAGGATGTTTACTGTCTTTTGGGCAACTAGTGCTACCCAAAGAAGAATCCTTGATCCTTCCACCATCGACAGGTCTATCTGACAGTGCTGAGGGAAAAGCAGATGTCTTCTGTCTCTTCACAGCATGCAAAGGGAAGGATTTGACACAACGACTAGAACGAGCCAACCAGGATATGATGGGTTCTGAATACTTATAGCTCCCATTACCACTGGCACCTTCTGTCATGGCATTTCTCTTCCTCTTCTCTTTGTTGAGCTTCATGTTCCTGATTCTATCACCAGAGATCCCATCTCCCCGATATCCTTTTTGCTCAGATTTTCTAGGAATTTCACTTGGGAAGAGCAGGAGTTTAAATCTCTCTTTCTGTAAATTTACCCATTCCTCATCACAGTCATCATATTTTACGTGGTGATGTTTTTTTTCTTCGTCATAGTCATTGACTACGCCATAATACCAACTCTTGTCCAAAGGCCAAAAGACCTTGATTTTTCTATTTAACACCCAGTTTGCATCCAAGTCTCTAGACAAAATTTCATAAAAATGGCGCCTTTTCCTATAATTTCTCTTCTCTTTATGCCTTCTCTTTGGTCTCAATACCCTATCAGAAGCATCAACAGACACAGATTCAGAACCAGACAAATTCTTAGACACATAAGTAGCATCCTGACCCGGAGACAGGAGAAAAGATAATCCATTCTCAGATGGTGATAAAGATACTTTGCTGTTCGAGGAAAAGCCAGTACAACTTGGGTCAAACCGTGATGATAACATTCTTGCTGCATTCTCTTCAAGATTCTCTTCATCATCATCTTGAAAATCATCAAATGACTTAACAGGACAATCAACTAAACTCTCGGCCTTCTTAGAAAAACTTTTACCACCTTTTACTGTATCCTTCCTCTTTCTAGGCTTTCTCCCTGACCTTTTTAAGGAAGCATAACTATCGTTTGCACCTGAGTAACCAGCAATACCATCTTCTTCCTTCAATTGCTGAACTGAACTTGGTTCACTGCTTCTATTTCCCTTAAAAACATCAATATGCTTCTCTCGTTTAACCTTCAAACACTCATTATCAGTGCTGGAATCTTCACTAGCTAACTTAACTTCCTCACTGACACCACCAACTATGCTACTAGATCGCCCTTCCAACTTCAACACTTGACCGTTTTCAAACTTGTTTCCACGTTTACGTCTCGGGATACTAGTACCACTGTCACCCAAACTAAGTGAAACGCCATTAGCACTGCAACCATTCTTTGACTTTTGACTCAAACTCACCTTCTTCAAGCTTTCCGGATCATGCAGCCCGGAACAAAAGGCCCCATTATACACTTCGGTTAAACTCTTGCTACTATTGCTATCATTGACGGTTTTAAAGCTACTGAGAGGCAGAGCATTCCTACTCTTCTTCCCCTTGTTATTAATATTACCACTCCTCTTTTCAGCAACACCTTCTTGTGAACTTTCTTTCCACTTCAAGCTCTTTTTTCTAGAAAACTCCTTTGAATCACCAGACTCATACAAACTCTTAAGATCCAAAGATCTTGATTTTTTAGGAATATCCGCTCCATGAGAGTTCACTGTTCTATTTTCCATCAACCACCCTTCAATGCAAACAGGTAAACCCCAATCCCCCACTTTTCACATTCCCATCATACATGTTTAAGATCTGTAAAACCAAAAATGCACCAAAGAAGGGGGGAAATCCCTCAAATTTCGCACCAATCAACCTCAGTAAACACGTATTCAAATGATTCCTTTGATAAACTAATCTATTAACAATAAAAATCGCGATAAAGTTCATTCCTTACCTGGACCGGTGTATTAAAGAACATCAATTTCTCCGCCGAATCGTTAAAATCAATAGTATTAGCGTATGCTAGGTTTTGAAATTGAATCCCCAATTGAGTTTTATATTTTTTAATTTAATTTCTCGTTTTTTTACCGTGACAAACGATAAAATCCTAGGGCTTTTTTCGGTCTCACGAGATTGAGGGTTTAGATTGGAAAAAAATAAAACAATTTTTAATAGGTAAAAAAATGGAAAATATAATACATTAGGGTTTTTATTTATCTACGTAGCGATGTACTGGCCCTCGGATTTAGAAAGAGTGGTGGGATCTGGTTCGATTACTTAAAGCTGTTTGATTAACGAACGGCCACGATTGTGTTTCCTGATAGGTGGACGGTTTGATGAGGTAAAAAGAAAGAAAGGTTTATTCCAATTTTCCATTCCATTTTCGTTTTAGTAAAACCCCTAACCTCATTACATATAAAAAGGCTAAACTCACGATATAATGCTTTGGAAATAAATAATTCACGAAATAACGTTATCCCAAGATTAATTGATGAAGTATGGTGAATTGCACAGTTGGCCGTAGGTCGCCATACCTTCCGGGCGACCTACGACGAGGATCGTGTCGTGCATGGGACATGCACAACCCAACCATAGGTCGCCAAGCACTCCAAGCGACCTACAAGGTCGCCATGCACTCCCAGCGACCTTGTAGGTCGCCAAGCAATCCCGGCGACCAAGATGGTAGGTCGCCATGTACGGCTAGCGACCTTATAGGTCGCCAAGCACGCCGGCGTCCAACGTTGGGCCATGCAGGATAGGTAGCCATACAATCCTCTCCTCGCGTCTGATTCCACTTGCAGCTGCTCAGGAGAACCTATTCTTCCTGCTCCTCGCGTGATTTCTTACATCTGCTAGGAGACCTCATGCATGCAGCTGTAATAGCTGTATTATTGCAGCATGATTTGAGCTGCAAAGTGTCATAGCTTCGTGCCCTAGCTTCGAGCCATAGTTGCTCCCTCATGCCATAGCTTCGAGACTGTCCACTATTCTTATCATAGTTGTATTGGTGCAGCATAAAATCAGCTGTTGCATGCAGTAATTAGTGTTGTATTATTGCAGCGTTCAACGATTGAAAAATTTACAGCCTTCAACGTGAATTATACAGCTCAAATTGATTGCAGCTTACCAACCGTTGAAAGATCATTATATATTGGATATGAGGGGTTTAGGGTAGAATCATAAGAAAGAAAGAAAATTTGGCGAGAGAAAGGAAATGAAAGGAAAAGAAGAAGAATAGGAAATGGAGTAAAGGCTCAAACATCGTTCGTGATGTAATTTTTAATTGTTTAATTTAGTTTATTAATATGAAATTATGAAATTATGAAATAATTAGTTTGTTAGTTTAGGGTTTAGGATAAAACAGGAATTTAGTTAATTAGTTGTTAGTATAATTATTAGTTGTTAGTTTAAGTATATATTAATTTGTTAGTTTAAGTAGATTATATTAGTAATTATATTAAGATTAAATAAAATATTTAATTAATTTGTTAGTGTGTTTAAACGTATATTAGGTGTTTGTTGAAGTTTAAGTTAAAATATTAAAAAAGTTAATTAGTGCTTAATTAGTTGTTAGTTTGTTATTTTAACTAAATTATATTATAAAGAAATAGTTTATTAGTTTAAGTTATATTATAATATATTAGTTATATAAATTTAATTTTTTAATTTATTGTTGTTAAAGAAATAATTTTTTACACGTACAAAGCATTATTCCACAACATTTTTTCACATACATATTGATTCGAAGAAAGAAACAATAAAGGAAAGGAAAAAGGAAAATGAGCAACAATTTTTTCACGATTGTCCATTATAATGGACAGATTATGGAAATGAGATCGAGTATTTTTCAGTCTGAAAAACCAATAAATATGATGTTCAAAAAGACATCACATTTATAGAAATGAAGCATAAGATAGAAAGAAAAATTCGAGAGTTTGATAGTTTGAGGTATATGTTTATGATATGCCCCAACCCAGTCAAATATGCTGCAGTTCCACTTGAAGAAGATTATGATATTGGAACCATGGTTGGATTACATGAGTCAACCAATATAGCAGTTATTGAGTTTTTTATTGATGTGCATAACATATGTGATGTTCCTGGGTCATCAAGAGGTGTGACTCAAAATCCATCTGAAATGACTTTATATAGTCAGTTTGAGGAGCCGACATACAGGTTCCCGAACAGTTTTATGGCACTATTGGAAAGTGTAAATGAAGTCGGGGGGACATCTGCAACAGAAAAGTATGAGACGAGAAACATACCGGAATTGGTTGTTGATATTGACGCTGAAAATCGATGGAGAAAAATTCATGATGATTAGTAATGATTAGTAATGATGAAATTATTATTAATATTTAATAATTTGATAGTAATTTGATAGTAATGATGTGTGATAATGAAATTATTATTAATTTTTAATGATTTGATAGTAATGATTAGTAATAATGAAATCATTATTAATTTTTAATAATTTGATAATAATGATTTAGTAAGATTAGTATAATGAAAATTATTATTAATTTTAATGATTTGATAGTAATGATTAAATGATTAGTAATAATGAATTATTATTAATATTTAATGATTTGATATTAATGATTTAGTAATGATTAGTAATGATGAAATTATTATTAATTTTTAATGATTTGATAGTAATGATTTAGTAATGATTAGTAATAATGAAATCATTATTAATTTTTAATGATTTGATAATAATGATTTAGTAATGATTAGTAATAATGAAATTATTATATATTAATGATTTATATTAATGATTTAGTAATGATTAGTAATAAAATTATTAACTTTTTAATGATTTGATAGTTGATTAGTATAATGAATTTATATTAATTTTAATGATTTGATAGTAATGATAGTAATAATGAAGTTATTATTAATTTTTAATGATTTGATAGTAATGATTTAGTAATGATTAGTAATAATGAAATTATTATTAATTTAATGATTTGATAGTAATGATTAGTATGATTAGTAATAAATTTATTATTAATATTAATGATTTGATATTAATGATTAGTAATGATTTGATAGTAATGATTTACGACTTGAACATGACAATGTTTGGTTCAATTAACCATATTTTCGTTACATAACTAGTAATGAATTATAATAATGATTTGATACTAAAAATCTTATAAATATGTCGAATTTTTTAAGGTTTGAAAAATTAGTCTAATGTCAATATTAAATTTGTAACAAATAACAAACTAGTTTACAATTGTTGCCGATGTCTGGGTGTTGTTGAATGATAATGCTGGGGCGGACGTCTGATGGTTGCCGATGTCCTGGTGTTGTGAATGATAATGCTGGGGCGGACGTCTGATGCGTAGTGGCCGTTGCGGTTTGTTGAGTTAATCGATTGACGGATTTGGACAAGAGGGGGTGAATTGGCAATTAAAAATTTGGTTGAAGCTTTTGCAGAAAATTGAAAGTAATTGCACAGCGATTTAGAGTGGTTCGACTTTCTCATCAAAGTCTACGTCCACTACCTTAGCTATCCACACTAAGGATTTTCCAACAAATTCACTAATTTTTCTTTCTTTGAGGCCAAGAGATAACCTTACAACACCCTCAACTTGAAAGCAAAATGAATTGAAAGGAAAATTGGCTTGATTTGCACAACTTGGTGTTTGTGCTTCTCTTGTTTTTCTATAATTTCTACTTGATCAAGGGCTTCAGAACTTGTTTAAATACACCTTGAATCACTTCTGAATGTTGGGGATGATTAGTGAAGATCATATAGCCGTTTTAGTGTGAAAACAATTAATAAAACAGTTTTGGAGCGGGGGGATCGGTTCCCCTCATAGGGAATCGGTTCCCTAAGTGTAAATTCAAATATTTCGACGACCGTTGAACAGGGGGAATCGGTACCCCCTATGGGGAATCGGTTCCCTCCGAGCATTTGGAAATCTCGGAGCCAACCATTCATGGGGCCAACCATTCATGGGGGATCGTACCCCCTTGGGGGGAATCGGTTCCCTCTGGCAATCTGAATTTTTGGCTTTGAAATGGTTCGAAATACTTTGAAAGATTATTTTGAAATTGTTTAAGATTAAAACTTAATTTTACACTTAAGTAAGGATTAAAAATGATTTTTTTGAAATATTTGGAGTAATGTTTTGATATTCGAATAATTATCTCGAATATACTTAGAAAATCATTTTGGAAAATCTTAAAATTCATTTAACTTAATTTGTTATATCGAAATATCAAAATGTTTTCAACAATCTCCCCCTTTTTGATATAACAAAACATTTTAGTAATTTTAAGATTTTGAAATCAAGTTTTTAAATTACTCCCCCTTACTTTACACTTCTCCCATTTATCATAAACACACTTAAAACACACTCTCACCCTTTTGTTAATCAAAAAGATTCAAATATGATATGGTAAATTGGTCATTGCTAATAATGATGTAAATGATGCAATAATGAATAAATCACACAACATATAAGTTCACACCATCCATAAATTCAGACATTCCAAATATCAAATGTTAAAGCAAAGTTTGGAAAACAAAGTAAACATTTAATCACATATCCGGATCAGGAGGAGGAAAACGAGCTCGCATAGCGGCCATTTCGTTAGTGAGGTCATTATACGTGCGTTGGTTTTTCATTGTTTGCACGCATTTCCCGAAGAATTTCTAATTGTTTGAGCTCCCCATTGTGGATAATGGGACTCTATAGAATTAAAGCGCGAATCCATGGTCGCATATCGGTAATCAAATGTCTCCATAAAAATTGAAAATATAGAGGTATTTAAGTCGATTGTTGTGCTTGCTCTTCGGGCTGCTCCTCGGGCTGCTCAGTTCATCTTCAGCTTCATCGATGTCTCGCATTAATTGCTCAAGCTCGAGATCTTCGTCAGCTTCGGGTGGAGCTTGTGAAGAACTAGCTCCCGGAGTAGTTGTAGAAGATCAAACCCATTCCCCGGTTTCCTTATCCTTAATCCATCCCGCTCTCGTTAAGGAAAGAAGGTTAATTTGTTTCTTAAGAGGAAAAACGGCATCTAGACCGACTCTAAGCCCAGCTTTGGAAAACAGATTACTCAAAATACAACCGTAAACAAGATATGAACAAGTTTTTTATTAGGAACAAGATTTACGGTTTCAACAATTT